AGCCCCAGCACCCCCTCAGACCGCATCCTTAGAGGGCTCCGTTCTCTGCTGTCCAGACCTCACAGTGGGAGCTGCAGTCACCCAACTAGGAAACCTAAGCGAGTGGGGTCCCTGGATCCCAGGGTGCAGGGGCTAAGTGGGGGCACTCACTGCCAAAGGTGAGGTGGGCATGGTGACCGGCACGGACGGCAGAGCAGAGGCAGAGGTCAGAATAGTCAGACTCGTGCTGACCCGTGGCCTTGGCTGGTTGACCCTGGTTTTCCTAGATGTGAACTGAGCAGGAAGCCTGCTGGATTCTCACCGCATCTGGATAAGGGAGAAGTCCTAGGTCCAGTGAACAAATGTCTATCCCGAATTGTAAGATCAGAGGGTCGTGGTCACTCAGTCAATCCCCAGACGTGAGCCAGTTTTCAGCCCCAGAACGCTTGAAGGAAAGGGAGGCGGGGTCCCCTTGAGGAAGGACCCAGGACACCCTTGGAAATGGATGCTGTCAGTCTTTCTCCCAGCCTTGCCCAGAGGACCTGCAGACACTTACAGGGCGACTGTGCTCTGGGGAAGGGGAAATAATGAGGCTTTCCAGGGACTCCTGGACACTGGCTCTGAACTGACACCAATTCCAGGACACCCCAAAATTCCCCGTGGTCCCCCAGTCAGACAGGGGCCCCTGGAGGTCAGGGGGTCAGGGGGTCAGGGCAGCTCCAGCTCAGGTCCATCCACAGCGGTCCCACTAGAAGGCATAACTGGAATAGAAATCTTCAGCAGCTGGCAGAATCCACACATTGGTTCCCTGACCCACGGAGTGAGGGCTGTTAATGGTGGGAAAGGCCAAGTGGAAGCCACTAGAACTGCCTCTACCAAGGAAGATGGTGAAGCAACCAGCGTTTCTGATTGGATTGCAGAGATCAGTGCCTCCATCTAGGACTTGAAGGGTGAAGGGGCGGTGATCCCACCACAACCCCATTCTATTTGGCCTGTGCAGAAGACAGGTGGGTCTTGGAGAGTGACAGTGGATTCTCATAAGCTTAATGAAGTGGTGACTCCAACTGTAGCTGCTGTACCAGATGTGGTTTCATTGCTCGAGCAAATTCACACATCCCCTGGTACCCAGCATGCAACTTTTGATTTGACAGATGCCTTTTTCTCCATCCCTGTCCATGAAGTCCAGCAGAATGTTTCCTTTTACCTGGCAAGGCCAGCAGTACACTCCACTGTCCTACCCCAGGGGTAAGTCAGATCTCCAGCCCTGGGTCACAATTGAGTTCACAGCGATCTTGGTCACCTTTCCCTTCCACAAGACACCACACTGGTCCACTTCATTGATGACATTATACCGATTGGACCTATTGAGCAAGAAGCAGCTACTACTCCAGACTTATTGGTATGACATTTGCATGTCAGAGGGTAGGAAATAAATTCAACAAAAATTCAGGGGCCTGGGGGCTTCCGTGGTGGCGCAGTGGTTGAGAGTCCGCCTGCCGATGCAGGGGACGCGGGTTTGTGCCCCGGTCCGGGAAGATCCCACATGCCGCGGAGCGGCTGGGCCCGTGAGCCATGGCCGCTGAAACTGCGCATCCGGAGCCTGTGCTCCGCAACCGGAGAGGCCACAAGAGTGAGCGGCCGCGTACCACACACACACACACACACACACACACACACACAAATTCAGGGGCCTTCTATCTCAGTGAAATTTCTAGGGGGTCCAGTAAAGCGGCAAGATATCCCTTCTAAGGTGAAGGATGGATTGTTGCATCTGGCCCCTCCTGCAACCAAAAAATGGGGCCAACACCAATGGGACTTTTTGGGTTCTGGAGACAGCCTAGTCCTCATTTGGGTGTGTTACTCCAGCCCCTTGACTGATTGACCTGGACAACTGCTCGTTTGGGGTGGGGCCCACGCAGGAGAAGGCTCTGCACTGGGTCCAGGCTGTGCTACCCTGGGGCCACATGATCCGGCAGATCCAGTGGCGCCTGAAGTGTCAGGGCAGAGAGGGATGCTCTTTGAGTCTTTGGCAGTCCCTAGAGGTGAATCATAGGGCAAGCCCTTAGGATTTTGGAGCAAGACCCTGCCATCCACCCAGATAACTACTCTGCTCTTGAGAAACAGCTCCAGGCCTGCCACTAGCCTTAGCAGAGACTGAACACTTAGCCGTGGGCCCCCGAGTTACCATATGACCTGCCCATCATGAACTGGGTGTTATCTTTACCTCACCCACTGAGCTACAAAGCTGGGCATGTAGAGAAAAAAACACTCCACCATCCAATGGAAGTGGCACAGAGGCGAGCCTGCCCGAGCAGGCCCTGAAGGCACAAGTAGGTTCCCTGAGGAAGTGGCCCAGATGCCCACAGCCCTCACCCCCGCTACACGGCCTTCTCTCTCCCAGCCTTAACTTACGCCCTCAGGGGTGTTTCCTAGGATCCGCTGACAGAGGAAGAGGTGACTAGGTCTAGTTATAAGTGGTCCTGATTGATATGCAGGCTCCACCCACCAGTGGTGGGACATCCCTCAAGGACTCGGTGAAGGGCGATCCAGTGGGCAGAGCTTCGGGCAGTGCACCTGGTCCTGCACCTTGACTGGAAGGAGAAATGGCCTGAGTGATGATAACCAGACCCATGGGCTGTGGCCAGTGGTTTGGCTGGGTGGTCAGGGACTTAGAATTAACATGATTCGAAAATTGGTGACAAGGAGATTTGGCAAGAACCCTGAAAATATTCGTGTCCCATGTGAATGCTCGCCAAAGGGTGACCTCAGCAGAAGATTTTAATAATAGAGTGGACAGGAGAACTGTCCTGTGGATCCTGGTCAGCCTCCTTCCCAGCCACTCCGTCACTGCCCGGCAGGCTCATCAGCAAAGCGGCCCTGGTGGCAGGGACGGAGGCGGCACAAGGGCCCAGCAACACGGGCTCCACCCACCAAGGCTGAGTATCCAGCCTGTCAGCAGCAGAGATCAACACTGAACCCCCGATATGGGACCATCCCCCGGGGTGACCAGCCAGCTACCTGGTGGCTGGTTAATTACACCAGAGTGTAACCGAGCAGGACCTTATGGCGTCTTCCCAGAAGAGACCCACCCACCCCACCCCCGACACCGTGTCCTTCACCTGCCTCTTCTCTGTAGACAAACTTTAGCCTCCTAGACCTTCCCCTAGTTCCAAGGAGTAGATTTAATCAGAGAAGTGAGAAAATGCAGTAAGAAAGGAAAACAGTCAGATAAGAAAAAATAATAATAGTTTAGCCACTGAACAAAGTCAAGGACTTTAGCTCCTCCTCCAGGGCTGTGGATCATGTTCTGAGCCGTGTCCTTGAGCTGTTTTGCGGATACTGAAACCCCCACCAGGTGGAAGAAGTTAACTCTATGATGTCCACGAGCGCGTAGACCCCAGACCAGCTGGAACCAGAAGGCTGGTGATGTTGACTCCTTGTTACGTCACCACCAACCAATCAGAAGAGCGTCCACGAGCTGATCACACACCCCACAACCTCTCCTCCCTCACCCTGTCTTTAGAAACCTTTAAAAATCCTTCTCCTGAAAGTTTCTGGGGAGTTTGGGCCTTTTAAGCTCTAGCTACCTGGACTCCTTGCTTGGCTCCTGCAATAAAGGCTGCACTTCCCTTCACCACAGCCTGGTGTCAGCAGATTGGCTTTACTGTGGGCAGGCGAGGGGACCCAAGTTTGGTTCGGTGACAGGACAGGACTGCTTCCATCATGGAAGGGGCAGTGTTTTGTTCTTACTGGAAGAGTCACTTACTCTGGGTATGGATTTGCCTTCTTTGCATGCAATACTTGGGCCAAAACTACCATCCGTGGACTTACAGAATGCCTTATCCACCCTCCTGGTATTCCACACAGCACTGCTTCTGATCAGGGAACCCTCTTCGCAGCAAAGGGAGAGTGGCAGGGGCCCCTGCCTGTGGAATTCGCTGGTCTCACCATGTCCCCACCATCCTGAAGCAGCTGGCTTGAAAGAATGGTGGAACAGCCTTTTGAAGACTCAGTTACGGCACTAGCAAGGTGGCAATACCCTGTGGGGCTGGGGCAGGGTTCTCCAGGAGGTTGTATATGCTCTGAGCCCATGTCCACTATATGGCACTGTTTCCCAGCCAAGACTCCTGGGTCCAGGAATCGATGGGTGGAAAAGGCAGTGGCAGCCCTGACTGTTACCCTAGTGACCCACCAGGAGAACTTTTACTTCCTGTTCCTGAGACTTTGTGCTCTTAGAGGTCTTAGTTCCAGAGGGAGGGATGCCTCCACCAGGAAATGCAGCAATGATTCCTCTGAACTGGAAGTTAAGACTCACTGGCCACTTTGGGCTCCTCATGTCTCATCAGGCAAAGAAGGGACTTACTGTGCTGGCCGGTGTGACTGAGCCTGACCACCTGGGGGAAACTGGGCTGATGCCCCCTCCACACCGGAGGTAAGAAAGGGCATGAAGGACGCAGGAGATCCCTTAGGGCGTCTCTTAGTGTTACCGTGCCCTGGGATTGAGGCCAAGGGAACATGACAACAACCCAATCCCAGCAGGACCACTGATGACCCAGACCCTTTAGGAACGAAGGTTTGGGTTGGCTACCAGGTACAGAACCACAACCAGCTGAGGTGCTTACTGAAGGGACAGGGATAGGCAGTGGGTGGTGGGAAAGGATAGTTATATACATGAGTTACAACCTCGAGACCAGTTACAGAAATGAGGACTGTAATTGTCGTACTTATTTCCTTCTTTTGCTATAAGTGTTACGGAACCAAACTTGGGTCTCCTCATCCATGTGCAGTAAAGCCAATCTATTGACACCGGGTCGTAGTGAAGGGAAGTGCAGCCTTTATTGCAGGTGCCAAGCAAGGGGTCCAGGCAGCCAGTGCTTCCAAGGCCCGAACTCCCCAAAGGCTTTCATGGAAAGGATTCTAAAGACAGGGTGAGGGAGGCGGGTTGTGGGGTGTGTGATCAGCTGGTGGACATTCTTCTGATTGGTTGGTGGTGAGGTAATCAGGAGTCAACGTCATCAACCTTCTGGTTCCCACCAGTCTGGGGTCTACGTGCCGGTGGTCAGCATGGAGTTAACTTCTTCCACCTGGTGGGGGTTTCAGTAACTGCAAAACAGCTCAAGGATGTGGCTCTGAACACGATCTGTAGCCCTGAAGGAGGAACTAAACGTCCTTGACTTTGTTTAATGGCTAAACTATTATTAGTTTGTCTTGCTGGACTGTTTTCTTTCTGCATTTTCTCATTTCTCTGATTAAAATTATTGACTAAAGTTTTTCTACAGACAAAAGGCAAGCAGAGGACATGGAGGGGGGTCTGTTCTGGGAAGCCCCCCTAGGGTCCTGCTCGGTTACATGTGTGTGTGTGCGTGATCTTTGTTTCTTTCCTCTCTTCTCCCTTTGCCATGTCACGTAAGATGTACTGACTTTGCATCACAGCATTTAGTCCTGGGAATTTACACCCTAGCGTTTAAGCTGTGGGACGTCAGCCCTGGGGAGAGGGGGAGACTTCACCTCCTCCTCTGAGGAAGGGGTTTGTGCGTTTTCGGTTGTAGGCAGGACAGTTGTGAGGCAGAATTATGATCTTCGTGTTGACTTTGTTTGGGGATCAGGTGCGGTTTAAGGAGGTGGGTACAAGTGATGAGGTGGCAAGGGGTGGATGTGTGTTGGTCAGTTTTATGTATCAGCTGGACCAGGCCATGGGTGTTCACATTAAATTTTATTTCTGGGTGTGTCGGGGGAGCTCTTTCTGGATGAGGTTATAGGGTTAGAATTGGTGGCCTCAGTACAACAGATGCTCTTCCCAGTGTGGGTGGGCATCACCTAGTTCACTGAGGGCTTGAATAGGACAAAAGATGCAGAAGGGAGGAATCTGCCTTTTCTCTTCCTGCCCACCTGCTTGAGCTGGGACAGCCCACCTCATCATTTCCGGCCCCTGGACTGGGATTTATACCACCAGCTCCCCAGGTTCTCAGGCCTCCAGGCTTGGACTGGATTCCACGAGCAAATAGGCTTTTGTGGATCTGTAGCATGCAGACAGTAGACGTGGGGCTTCCCAGCCCTCACGATCATGTGAGCTGGTTCCTCATAATAAATCTCTTCCTATGTATTGTGTTTGTCTGTCTCTCTGGAGAACCCTATCATCAGTGGGTCTGAAGCTTGATGTCTGGAAACACCTCATTTCCCATGGCTCCTGCCTCTCCACAGCTGGATTCCGAAGGCTCCGGGCTCCCAAGTGACCTGGGCGCACAGGTGGGACTCCCGCACGAGGGCTGCAGCACAACCTGTGGGCCTGGAGAAGGTGCCGGCCCGGCCCAACTGGGCTCTCCGCCTGCCACCTGTGACCTGACCCAGAGAAGGCAATTAGGAAGCCAGTGAGGAAGGCCCTGGAGGGGGGCGGAGAGGGAGGTGAGCAGAGGCCCTGGGCTACAGGCGAGAGAGTGAAGAGCCCAGGCCAAGCCAGCCGGCTGTTGGCCCCCCTCACCTGGGCATGGAGCTCGCCTGGCCTCTGCCTGGTCCAGTCCGCCATGGGGGAGGCCCCAGAGGGTCCAGACAACTCCCATCGCTTCAAGAAGGGGAACCAGAGCCTCTCTGAAGAGCACCTTCTGGACCTTGTGTGTCCCCGGGGCACCCCAAGCTTCCGGGGTCTGCACCCCAGTCCCATGGAGGCCGAGGTGATTTCAGAGCTGACGAGTGCTCAGCCCTGGTCACCCCTGGAGCAGAGGCTGGCGTACCCCTACTGGGCAGCAGGACGCTGGGCTACGGGGCCCCTGTGTCAGGGGCAGAGCTGGGCCTGGACGCTGTGGGTTCCTCCGTCCCTCGGCCACCTCCCGACCCCCGAATGGCTGTGGCTCCAGTGGCACCGTCTCCTGATCCTCTGTGCTGGATGTGAGGTCCCCTTAGCGAAGCAGCGTCACGCACGGCTCGGGCACGGGTGTCCTGTGGGCATAGAGAAGGGCACATTTCTGTCTGTGCAGAGCCCTCCGATGGACACCCAGGTGTGATGGGTGACATACGGCATGGAGCACAGGGCAGGGGGCTCAGGGCAGGGTTCCAGCGGATCTGGCGACAGAGCGCAGGGGGCCCGGGCTTCATCCCCAGGGCCAAGGCGTGATCCAACTCGCCTCCGTAACGTCCCTCCTGCTTCGAGGCTGTGGACGGGCGGGAGGGAGCAAAGCCAGAGCCCAGGAGATGGGGTAGGAGGAGAGGCAGCACCCAAGGCTGTCCAGGTCCTGGAGGCCCAGCGCAAGTCCAGGCAGGGCCCTGTTTGCAGGACTCCGGGATTTTTCCTGACACCCTTGGCACAGGCAGGGAAGGAAGGACAAGCATCTGGCTGGGGTTTGCCAAATAACCCTCAGGGAAGGAGAGGGTGGGCTCTGACCAGAGAGAGGATGCAGAGGTGAGCCAGGCCTTGCGCTCTGAAAGGGAAAAAGATCGGGCCACCTGGACTCAGGCAGGGACCCGATTCCTACCTGATTGCTCCACTGGCCAGAGGTGTGACTGTGGACACATTCCATGTCCTTTCTGAGTCACAGCTTCCTCCTACGACAAACAGGGCCCCTTGCTCCTGGCAAGTTCTGGCCTCCAGGTAGCTTCCTAAAGCGGGAAAGTCAAGCAGACTTGCCAGGAGAATCCTACAGGGTTAACGGGAGCCGGTGGGCGCCATGAAGTGGGCAGTAAATCCTCGCCCGTGTGCCCTGCGGACTTCTTGGGAGGGGTCCTGGGTCACCACCCCCCCCCCCCCCCCCCAGAACAGTAAGTCGGCTCCGGGAAGCTGGGCCCGCCCGCCCCCGGCCTCCATTCCCAGAGGTCCTGGCCCAGAAGGGTCTGGTCACTTTTTGGGAAAAACCTGCTGGGTGTGGCCTCCTGAGGGCACAGCCACTTGACTGGCCTTCCCAGGCCGCGGGGCAGGGCAACACTCTCCCAGTAACGGTGCATTCTGCACACTTCCAAAGTCCCTGCCCCCTCATACCCCAAAATGCACCCCCATCGGTCAGGGAGGAAGTCTCTTGACGCCTCACCTCCGCTGGGAGACGCTGGAAAGGCCGCGGCCCCACCACCTTCCCCCACAGGCCAATCTCAGTGCGGGGGTAGGTGGATGGTGCTGGAGGCATGGCAGTGAGGAAGAAGGGCCACGACGGCGGGTACACGTCGACGGGTGAGCGGCCGGAGGGAACTGGACCAGGAAGGGAGGAAGATTTGGGGGGAACGTGGAAAGCGGAGGAAGCTGCGGGGGCGGCGGGGAGGGCGGAGGGGAGAGGCAGGCCGACAGCCACGCAAGTCTGAAGCGGTCTGTGCCAACCTCCAGGCGCTCCGCTTCAAGGCTCCCCAAGGCCCGGGGCGCACGGCAACCACCCGCAGAGAGTGGGCGTGGAGGGGATGTTGGGGAAAAGCGCCCCAGGAACCTGAACGCCCTACCCAAGCGCGCCAGGTCTTCATCACCTCTCAAGCCCCGCCCCGCCCGGAGGGCTGCGTTCCCCTCTCGAAGGCCCGGTGGAGTCATAAACAGGTGTGCGCCCGGCCAGGAACAGGCGCGCGTGGGAGTGCGCGCCCACCCTGGTCGCCGGGAGGGGCCGGGCGGGGCCGCGCAGGCGCCGAGCTTTGTTAGAGACACTCCCGGGAGCCACGCGCCGGGCAGACAGGCTTCCTCCCAGGGGCCGGGCGTGGGGTGGTGCCCGCCGCGATTGGCCAAACGGGCGGCCCGCCACTGGCTGAAACCCCGGCCCCCGCCCCTCGGCCGCAGGGGGCGGGGCGCGGGTGCAGGTTGGTCGGCGCGTGCTGCTCCCCGGGGTCTCACGCGACCCAGGGATGGGTGCTCTGTGGCCTTAGACCTGCCCTACCCCCAAAGGCGAGCGTGGCAGGGGTCGCACCAGGGACCTGCGGACAGCAGCTTGGGGGTCGGTGCGCACACGGCACCTGCGTACTGCATCTTGGGGGGCGCACTGGACACCTGCTGGGAGCCGGGACCCACTGGGGACCTGCGGACTGTGCCCGGGGGACGGGGTGTGGTCGCGCTCACGGCTTGGTCTTTGCAGGCTGTGTGCGCCAGGGGTTGGACGAAGCGTGGCGGGAGGGCGAGGCAAGGGAAGGAGGGCGTGGGAAAGGAGGCGGCGGCGGCGCGGAGGAGGGTTATCTATACATTTAAAAACGAGACGCCTGCGCCGCGCGGGTAAGACCTGGGGAGCGTCCGACAGCACGCGCGAGTCACGAGCGCCCCACGCTCCCCGGTGCGCACTGCCCGCCACCTCTCGGCCTCCTGCGCCTCGTTGTCTCCGGACCCCAGACGACCTGGCACCACGTACCCTGGGTAGTCGTTTGGCAGCACGGTGCCAGATCGTCGCTGAGGCTTGACCGTCGTTCCTCCTCCCTCGGTTCCTCGCCCCACACCTTCCTGCGGCGCGCAGGCACTCGGAGGAGGCGCGGGGCGAGTGGATGCGGGCGCGATGGACAGCGGCGCGCTGCCCCGGCCCGCGCCCCCTGCGCCTGGTGTCTCGGGCTGCTGCGCCGCTCGGCGGCGACCGGAGTCTCCAGAGCTGCTGCGCTGCAGCCGGCGGCGGCGGCCAGGCGCGGTGGAGACCGGGAGTGGCGCGGCGGCCGTGGCGCGGCGCAACGAGCGGGAGCGCAACCGAGTGAAGCTGGTGAACTTAGGATTCCAGGCGCTGCGGCAGCACGTGCCTCAGGGCGGCGCCAGCAAGAAGCTGAGCAAGGTGGAGACGCTGCGCTCGGCGGTGGAGTACATTCGCGCGCTGCAGCGCCTGCTGGCCGAGCACGATGCCGTGCGCGCCGCGCTGGCCAGGGGGCTGCTGGCGCCAGCCGCGCGCCATCCACTGCCCCACGGGCCACCCGGGGCCGCCGCCGCCTCGCCCTCCTGCGCCTTGTCGTCCCCGGGCCGCGAGCACAGCTCGGAGCCCGGATCCCCGCGCTCCGCCTACTCGTCGGACGACAGCACCTGTGAGGGCGCGCTGAGCCCCGCGGAGCGCGAGCTTCTCGATTTCTCCAGCTGGTTAGGGGGCTACTGAGCTCTCGTCCCAGCAAGGTAAGCGCCGAGAGGCGGGGAAGAGGGAGGGTCGGAGGCAGGGCTGCCGGGCGCGGTGGAGCAAACGGCCTCGCAGCTCGCGCCCCCGAGAGCCCGCGGAGCCCAGCCTCAGGCCCGGGCGATGGCCTGGATTTCGCTCACTCTTCATTTCCCCCAAACTCTTTCAAGCCTGTGCAAGACCAGCGTTTGTTTGTCCGGGATTGCAAAACTTCCCCTCGCCGCTCCGCCGCCGAAGTGGGAGTGGGGAGACGGAGGGGGGCGGCCCTCGGGCGGGTGAGGCCCCAAGGGCTTGCGGATCCGGGGCAGATTCGGGCGCTTGGAGGCGGAGTGACTTTGCATTGCAAATTGCGCGCCGGGCCGGGTGGCAGAAATGAGTCGGCGGGGTGCGGATCCCTGACTCACTGCGGATCCGAGCGCTCGCCCCGCCCCGCCCCGCGCCCTGGCTGGGCCGTACTCCGAAACCGAGGCACCCACGGACCCGAGCTCCAAAATCCACTGAGGAAACGAAACTGACGGCTCCGCTTGTGGGAGGTGGGGGCGGGGCAGGGCCGGGCTGGGCGGGGTCTCCCGGGCCGGATCCCGCACTAACGCGCGTGCCTATTCCCTCTTCCCTCCTAGCGGCCGCGAGCGGGCTCACCACTTGGGAGCCAGCGCGTTGGAATGGATCACGTTTCCGTCCCCGCCGTTCCCGCGGGCCAAGCCACCACCGAGCCGGGGATCCCGCCAACCCTCCCCGGCCGTCCAGCCTGACCAAGGGCTAGTGTAGAAGCGGCCCAGCCTGACATCAACCGGGCGGCAGCTTCCTCGGACCCCAGCCACCCTGTCCCCGGAGGCCTTCCACTGGAACGGGTCTGCGGCACCAAGACTTGGAGGTTTGAAGGGGAGAGGATTTTATGCCGACACAGATATCTATTTTTTACGCATGAACTTGAACTGCCCAGGGACACTGACAGTATGAACACTTCTTTTTGTGCAAAGAATCCTTAGATTTGGAACCCAATAAAGATTGTCTACTCCCGCCCACTCCCTCTTCCTGGAATTTTTGAACCTGGCCAAGATCTGGACATGCTGCAGCCCTTGAGGGGCAGGGTCCCTGGCGGGTGTCCCCTTGCAGCGCTGCCAGTTGGGGAGAGACCTGTGTCAGAAAACCTGTTTTAGGGAGGGTGGATCTTATAAATAAATCGGTGCTGTGTATCCGTGGTGTTGGGGGTGCCCACTCCATATCCCGAGGCCCCCCATTTCCCAGGTGAGGGCCCGGTATGGGTGGGAGGTTGGCAGCTTAGACCCTGTACCCAGCAGGCCCCACCTCTGTGGTCGTGCCTCCTTGGACTCCACTCCCTCCTCTGTAGGGTGGGCGGGCGGAGAGAAGTGAGGTCTGGGAGTCCAACCTGGTCGCCACCGTGCCAAAGCAATTCACAGGTGCTGTGTGGAGCTGGGAGCTCCTGGCAGGTGGCAGCAGGCTGGCGGGTGGTCCATGCAGGGCTACTTCACAGTTCGGAAGCTGAGGTCCGCACGCTGCTGACTGGCTCGGGGATCTAGGGCAAGTGCCCAGTGTAGGGCTGGGCCTGAGGGGGTCTGACCCAGGCCACCCTCTGTCTCGGGGTCCAGGCTGCTGGGTTCAGATCTCTGCTGCCTACCACCAGCAGGGTGACCCTGGGCAAGTTGCTCAACCTGCAAATGGGGGTGACCTACAGTTGTGGGAGGACTTAAGGAGAGGTGTCCGGCAGTGTCCAGCATCCCGTACTCGGCCCTCAGCTGCTGCGCCCGTGGCTTCCAGGCCACTTGTGCCCGGCAGGCTGCAGAGGCCTAGGCCTCTCTGCCTGCCTGTTTGTGGGCGGGGGCTGTGAGGGCCTCCCTTGAGGGCAACGAGGAGGGCCCCCCCAGGCTCCCTGAGCCCAGAGGGCCCGCAGGTGATTACTCAGCTCTACCTTTGACCAGGGCCTCGGCAGCTTTGAAGTCTCGCTGTGCCCAAAGCTCTCTTTTATTGCAAGGATGGGTGTGAGGCTGACAGGGATCCCCTGTGCTGCTTTAGGGTGCTGAAAGCACTCCTTCCTCCGGCAGGGAATGGTTGGGTCAAAGCCGTTGGAACCCTGGGAGGTGGGGCGCCGGGTGGTGGCAGAGCAGATGGCTCCTGGGTAACCATGGCGACAGGGCTGGTGGGTCTGATGAGGCTCAGACTTGGTGGGGGTCAGCAGAGCAGCTGTGGCTGGGGCTTCAGGGCCGAGCGACCCAGCCTCATACAAGGGACAGAGGAGGCATGTGACATGGCCACCCAGCAAGCGCCACCCCTCAGCCTTCTCCCAGGGATCCACACCACAGTCAGTGACCTCACTGAGCCACTGGCTCTGGGCTCTCCTGGGACTCCTTACCTTGACCCCAGGCAAAGGCCTGCAGCCCCCAGGACCCAGAGTGGCACCAGGTGGGCAGGGAGGGACCACGCCTGGGTGTGGGGGAGGAAAGCATGGGAGGAGGGGAGCTGGGGCCGGCGATGAAGCTCTACGAAGGATAAGAGGTGCCATTTTTGTGTTCCTGTTTTTTATTATGGAAAATTCCAAACACATGCAGAAGTTCCAGAACTTTTATCGGACATCTTCTCTGTACCAGGCACCGAGGATGCACCGGTGCCCTCATGGAGCCTGCGTTCTAGCAGGGCGTACAGGCTCTAACCCACAGCGGCACTGTCGAATCAGACGTGTGGTCCTGTCGACGATGGACATGCCAGACCCTGGAGAAGGCTCTGAGAAGCCCCCATCACCAGCACCAAAAACTATTAACACCAGGCCTCTCCCACCCATCCACCCCACCGCTCCCACCCCCACGTGGTTCTGACGCAGATCCCAGGCATCATGTGGTTTCACCTGTAGATTCACCATGTGAGCCTCCAAGGGAAAACCCAATACCACGGTCCCACCCAAAATGAACAACAGCTCTTTCATTTCGGTGAACACCCAGCGGTGGCACAGCCCTCTGATTGCCTCCGTTTTTCACAGTTGGGTTTACAGAATGAGAATCTGGTGCAGATCCGCACCGGAATTAAAGACTTGTGAGCATCCCTCCCCCAGTCCCCTTACTGAGAAGACGAGGTCATCCGTGTTCTGGGTGTTGCCGACGGCACCACCCTAGGTGTTAATATTATTGAGTGTCTGTCCCTGTATTTTCTGTAATTGGAAGCGGGTGGGTCGGAAGCAGATGCGTGATCAGATTCTGGTTTGGTTTTTGGTTCCTGCACTTCAGAGGTGGTGCCGTGTCCCTGGATTTTTTGAACCTGGCCAAGAATCTGGACATGCTGCAGCCCTAACCCTAACCTAACCCTAACCCTAACACTGCATCCCATGAGGACGCACATATGGTGAGTGGATCAGAGGGTCTGAGCGGGTTCAGTTTTGAGAGAAGAAAGGTCTGTGCTTGATCAGGCAGGATGACAGGCGTGTCACCGGGCACACCGGCCTGCCTGCTCACTCTAGTTAGAAATTGCTCCCCCTTGGCCACCAGCTGTCACTTACTGGGTGCCATTCACTGCGCCATTTTACATAATTGAAAGGGCAGCTCTGAAAGGTTAGGTGCCTGAGGTCACAGAGCTTGAAGGTGATGGGGCTTGGGATTCCAACCTGGGATGGCTTCATTCCTAAGTCCTTGCAGTGGTCCCCTTCCAGGAGGGTGGGGCTGCCTGGGGCTGTCCCGGGGAGGACACCTTAGCAGTTCCATGTCCTAGGTCAGCACATCTGCACGGATCCCCACCTGGCCAGGTGGTCAGCCAGCTATCGGCTCTGCAGTGGGGTCAGCAGGGATCTCCTGGGAGCCTGTGGTCCAGCCTTGCCCCCATCTGGAGGTTGGAAGCCAATTGCAGACAGAAGGTGACCAGGGGCTGAGCGGTGGAGTTGGGTCGGGGACCCCATCTGTGGTGCGAGGGGAATGGCGCTTCAGCCTTGGGGTAAAGCTGGGTGGGACCAGGGGAATCTTTACAACAGCTCTGAATCAGGCAGGGCTGGGGTGGATGCGCAGTGGCGTAGCACAGCCTGGGTGACTACAGCCCCGGGGGGCCCTCTGGGGGTGCTTTGCTACTGGGGGTCCACACGTTGTCTTGTCTATTCATGACAGCAGGCGCCCCAAGGAACCCTGCTTTGTAGTCCCGGGAGTGTCTCTGTGGCTGAAACTCACCCACTCAGAGAATGATGTGTCCCCGGTGGCCACCCACATGGGGGACCTGCTGACACAGGACCACCCTCTTGGAGGCTGGGGCCCAGCACGGGTCCCTGCGTCCAGGCCCGCCCTACCTGGTCTGCTGGGGTCCCACACCCACTCATTCTGAAACCTTTATCAGACTCCTTCTCTGTATTCCAGGTGCATCAACGCCCGAGGGAAACCCTGCCTTCAAGGAG